GTGTAGTAAGAGTCAGTAGAAAAATTAATCCGACAATGCTATTGAATCAAGCCCGTATTAACATGCCGGTAGATTAAAATAGAAAATGTCACTATAAAAAATAAAAATAAAAATAGAATCGAGACCATTATTATAATTCGTTAATTTAATTATATTTGACAGATTTTTCACGGAATAAAAGTCAATTCGTATAAAAGAGGTCAACAATATATATTTTACTGAGCAGTGATTAAGGAGCAAACACCTAAAGAAGCCTATCAAAGAGCAAACAGTTCGGCGAATCGGTAAGTGGTATTGGGGGAAGAGGATCATTTAATTTAACAAAGAAAACATCACTAAAGACGCGAATGAGGGCTAACGCCACTTTGGGACGCTATCTTATTCTTTATTTTATCCGCCCTATTCGAAAATTTCCAGGTATGCTCGAGGTTTTAGATAAAAAGAAAAAAAGTATATATTTATTCGTGGACTGTGAGCGCTATGGTTTGAGCTGATGCCAATAAGACACTTCACACGATCTTTGTAAAACTCGACATAGTATAAAGTAAAATCAAGAGAATAAATATTTAAAGATTTTTCCAAATGGTTCGCACTTGAACAGAGGTGGCGCTTCGCCCACCAGGGGGAGGTAATAAAATAGGGTCTGGGACGGTGACTGAATTCTGTGCACCAGAAGTGCCTGTTGCAGAACCACATGGAAAGGGTTGAACACCATATGAAGAAGATTTAGCAGTTAGTGCTACTCGATCGATAGGACGCGCGAGTGCGCAGCTCTGCCAAATCTGATGCCAACCAATCGGATCTTGCAACCTGGAGTTTCGATAAAAAATGGAAATAATTTGAAATTGAAAAATGGTATGGACGAGCATAAAAATGAATACAATGGGCGGAAAATGTTGGAGAATAAATTAATGGATCATAAGTGGTTGAGCGCAATGATAGGCAGATAATTAGACAAAATAACTAGTAGACCGACTAAAATCAAGTATAGGCTGAGCAGACTGGATTGTATAATAGTAGAATTAATTTGATAATAGAGGTTGTCTCCGATATGGAGAAAATTTTAATTCAATTACAGGAATAGCCAGAATTCCAGGATAGAAATTCTCTTGGTCTAAAAATACCTCCGCCTTCCAAAATGAGAGAATAGTGGAGAATCGTAGCTTCCAGTGAGGGAGACGAATTCTCTCCCAGGAATAAATAAAAGGATAATATAGACCGTTAGTCAGGACCGAAAGACGATTTATTGAAATTAGCAAGGAAAACAGCGATTCATGACAATTTTATAGAATAATGGAATGAGAGTCCAGAATTTATAACAAAGTAATAAATAGCTTTATATAGTCCCAACATAGTCTACTTAAAAGGCAGATTAACATTAAATCCTTTATTTGGTCTTAGCACAAACAATATCATAAAACTAAATGGATAAATGATACTAGAGTACCTTTTATCTCGTATGAAGAGACGAGTGGAAAAAAGTGTAGATAAACGAAGCAAAAGGAGGATTGCCTCGGAGCTGTGACGCAGATTTGTGATAATAGATCCTTAACGCACCCTTCGGCGACCCCAATGGATTCGTGCTGAGCTTTCGTCTAGTTTGTCGTGGCAGGCATCGCCAGAGCAGAAAAAAATGCTTTACGAAAATTCACCAAGTACTTTAACAAGAAGACTGGCCTGACTTAATTCACTTAATGAGATATCTCATGGTTTGATTGACTATTCTATCCTTTACCTGCGTTCTTTCAGATGCAGTTGTGACCAAAAAGCAGCATCTTCCCCTATATTTTAGATTAGGAAGTCTCGAGGCATGTAATTGCTTTCCATTATATATTGTATGCATGCAATGCTCGTGAGTCGCGTGTGTGAAAGTGCCGACTAGATACATGGTTAACCAAACCTCCCACTCTTGCTCAGCGATACTTGCTATTACCTCTCCCGTTCTCTTACTGTAATCACATCAAAGAGATAAAAGTAGTTTCAGTTCATTTTCCTACATTCATCCCTTCTAGTTAGGAGTATTGTTTATTTCCATAGACTTCCTAATAATCTCCATATCCCTCTAATATTTAAGAACTAAACTAATATCCTGTCTGAGCTACTTTCTGGGACAGTTATGAGTTTCGGAAAGAGAAAACTTTGCAGGTTGTTTCATGTATGGGTTAGCAGATCTGCCCCATATAGATGCACTTACGAAGAGTTACTAGGTTTCGATGAATCATTTAAGATAGCATTGTTGTGAATTCCCGTTGTTCTGCAACCTTTTCTTTTAACTTTAACACGTCGTTCAGGTTGACGCAGTCTACCAGATATCCTACCTTGTTTAGGATAAAACCGGGCTGAGCTTTCGTCCATCATCACAAATGGAATCCATTCTTGCAAAAATTTCAAGTTAACACCAAGTCAAGAAGACTGCCTACATGTTATATATACTCATAATTTTTTTTAAATATTTTTAATTATTTGGTTAGTTCTTTTTCCTATTAGCCATGATATTTATTTCATATTGATTAAGTGAAAGTGAGAAATTATCTCACCTTTTTTACCATGCTGCCAGATAATGAAATAGTTATCCATATATCTAACAAATGTAGCG